CGCCCGACTGACGAGATCGCAAGATCGAAACACGTGTAGCGGGTTCTATAAATCAGCCCTCTTTGACAGACCACTGACATGCGTGGCTCAAGAAATGATTACCATGCATATTGAAATTTTAGCTGTGGTCTTAAGAAAACACTCAAACCAAAGATATGTATAATATTGGTATCGTTCAATTTCACGTTTTCTTGTGAACATTTTGCTATACAGGTTGTCTATACTAGCTTCAATATGGAGCTGTCTTAAGAACAGATTCCCTTATGCTAACCAAGCACGAATGGCTCATAGAGGAAAACGCTAGTGAAGGGGGCGCACAAGAATAATGGAGCTTCCTGTAGACATCCCGACAGCGACTGATTCTCCAGACTGTTCTCTGCGTCTGAGAACTTCGCGAATCACTTCCCAGCCGTCCTTTCTGGAACCGTACTATCGCCATAAGCCTGGTTAATCTTACGCACCGCTTCACTAACATCTTCCCCTATGAGCCATTCGTGCTTGAATAGCAAGGGAATTTGTTCCCCCAATAGCCTCATCTTAGAGCAAGTATAGGCAAGTTATACACCAAAATTTTCCCAAGAAAATGTGCAATTGAACGGTACCAAGATCAAGCAATTTTGACTACTCTGGTTAATAAATTTGAAGTCTGAACAAAAAAGTTGTAGCCTTGGTAGCAATACAATAACAACAGAATAAACTATAAAGAAGCTAGAACTATAAAAAAAAACTAGAAAACACTCGGGAAAAAACGAAGTGAATCAAAGGCGATAATCCTTTGTAATAAATTGAATACTTACTACTATTTCATTGTACTACTAGAAGTACTGAACGAGAGCCGATATCGACTGGATTCCTAGCGATATCAAGCGATCTACACGAGGGCCACCGACCCGATGGTCCGGTTTCTTCAAGAAGAGTTAAGGAGAAAGATATGATGCCCAACTAATCCCTAGACCGAGGAGGACCCACTGGGGCTACTCTTGCCCGCAACAGGGAAAAAAAGAAGTGTTGCTGGCGCCCGATCGAATCACTCGACGATAACGGACAGGTCAGACAGGTGACACCACAAGTACCACAACCACTATTACTACTCAAAAAAAGGGACAGATATCAACACACCTACGAATTTATAGTGTTTCCACTGCCTTTTTCACAGGTTTCATATATACCTAAGAGAAATGAGCGATGATCAAAAATACGACCTCAGGCGGGAGTCGAACCCGCGGCTATCTAGTCAATGGCTGATAGCTATCATAGAGATAATGAAGAATGAGTGGTGATGCGATTGTTGCTGGATGGTGGAGTGGTGGCATGCGTCCCCAGTATGGATGAAACGCGGGTTCGACTCCTATCTGAGGTCATATTTTTGCTCACCACTCAATTCTTTTAATAAGCACGAAATATCCAAAAGAGAAACCGAAAACCCCAAAACACGATGGAAATATGGCGGGATGATCGCTTTGGCAGTCAATTGCGATTGGCATGTATCAAACTTCACCCTTCAAAAGGGGTTAAATGCGGGTTCGATTCCCGTCCGGGGTTCAAAGTTTTGCACATGGCTCAACATTATCGAAATATATTTGTAACGTTGTACTACTGTAGAAAAGCTCTTAAGTTCAAAAAAAATTATTGCTGATTATAGTTATCAAGTGATAGATTGATGTGGATCAAATAAAACAAGTGTTTATTGGATGCAAGGCAAATTTCTCTATTCTGAGGAAGAGAAAAATAAAAAATAGGAACCAAATAGGAATATTACAAAATAAATTAGAAGAAAAAATAGGGCTTTTTTCAATAAATAAGTTTACTCGTTGAGAACCAAGTATTTGATGACGTCACTGCAAATCTACAGAGACTAAAAGGCCTCGGCTCGACGCATTCTCGTCAAACGCCCAATATCCGAGAGTGCTGAGTGCTGTGTGAAATTCGGGTCTTCAAGTGGGAGTTGAACCCGAGACTCACTCATACCCTGAGCGCCGGCTATCCATTACACCATCGAGACCATCGTTCATCTATCTTCCACCACCCTCTGACAATCTAAATATTCGTTTTGTTAGAAAAGGTCCAAGTGATGAATAGAGAATTCTTCCGGAACTAATGGCCTACGTGGAGGACATGATAGAAAATTTTGAATAAATCTAAGACTTTATGACTAAACGAAGTCAAATTGTAGGCTTGTTAAGACCTTGAGAAGGTGCGAGATCATCTACGACGACGATACCAGTTCGAACGACTAGCAACTTCTGTGCGCTATAAAAAAGTATTTTTAGCAAGGACCAATCAATACCTATGTTTTTCACTGTGGCCGATTGCGACAACTGTTATCACCTCGACGGGCGGAAATTCTCATCAATAGCTCCCTAACTATGATAATGGAGTTTCGTCATCAGACGATGACTCTATGATTCATCTAATGAACATCTCATCTCCATGTTCGACGATGATTCGATTCAATCGGCATCGTCGACGAATATTCAATTTTCGCATGGCTGACGTCGCTGATAGACCCTGTAAGCCATTACTAGAAGCGATGGACGACTACTTGACAACTCTCTTGATAGCTTCCAAATCAAAAATGAAACAGGGAAAGAGATGAGGAAGACTAAGCAGGTGTGACTGACAACATAACCGCGAACGATACGTTGCAATCGAACATGTTTGAGACCTCGCTTGAAAATATAAGTTCTTTTCGGTTATGAGGGAACAACATGAAGGAAACGACTCCTCTCGATGCGCAAGTTTTCATAGGGTGTTAGTAATTACTCGAAAGCTTAAATCTTTAGCTACAGCCCCACGTGAGCGGATTTTCGAAAGGCCCTTTTATAACGGTGTAAAATCTGGATAAAAATTATGTCTCACACGCGCATATTTCTCGCCGGATAGAGCTCTTTTTTTAGACTGTGAGTATTCATTCGATAGCGTAAGTTCCAGTGAATCCGATGCTATGGTGAGTCATGATTTTATTTTGGATTTCACACCGTTATAAAAGGGTTTCTTCGATAAGCGGTCACTCACGGCTCTAGCCAGATGATTAAGCTTTCGAATGAATACTAACACTCCTGTGAAAAGCTCCTGTCCAGCGAATGGGATCGAATATTCGTCATGTCTCCTTATAACTGAAGAGAACCAAAATTCAGTATAGTCTGATGGAATGTCCTAAGCCTTTCAAAGCTCTGGTATCTCCAGTGGTGTACATACGTTTCGGTGTTTTCGCACGCCTCATCAGTACCCACACGCCATACGGCTCACCCCTACTTCCAATAGTAGCGGCGCCGAAGATTTATCAATCTAGACGAAGTGAAAAAACCGCTTGATGTTGCGGTCTAATCAGATTTTCAGTCGATGGCTTACGATTATTACGAAGCATATGATGAGTACCTCAATCGACTATGTCTGAGACTTAAGATTCAGCATAGTCTGATAGAATCGTGTATTGTTATATGCCTCGTAACAGCCGTAGCCATCGACTGAAAATCGTCTAAACCGCAACATCAAGTGAATTTCACTTCGTCAAGAGTGATACATCTTCGACGCCGCTACTATTACTTTAAGGGATGAACCTCAGGGCATGTGGCACTGAGAGGCGTGCGAGAAGGCCGAAAGTACTTATACCACACCAAACTTCTAAAAGGCTTGAAGAATTCTACCTTGAAGGGAACTTTATGGTGGGAAAAACTTTCTCTCAGCTCTTTGATATTTGAATAACCTCCTGCTCTGTCGGTTTTTCAGCTTTCCTCATGATAGTTGAACACTACATGAAGACTTTTCTCAGCAATTTGCCTACCACGAGGTTGATACAGAAGCTTTAATTCGGCTAACATTTCAACGTCCTCGTCTTCTACAGAGCCGATTTGATCCGAGTCGGCAGTAGTCCATACAGCCGTTCATCCTCGCCGTATTGGTTCTTCGATTCGTTTCGAGTCATTCATTAGTCCACTAACTTAACTATCAAGTATCAATCGTTTACTCTGCATAGAAGAACACCGTAACCAGTGGGCCGTAAGCCAGGCAGACGACATCCCACACAATCAATCAATCTGAAAGAACGCCGTCGTTGGGTGACCTTCTCACTTGACGTAGAGTGTAACTCATACGGCGTTGATCTCCAATAATAGCAGGGAAGGATAAGCCTAATGGCATGTGCTACTGATGAGGCGTGCGAGAACGCTGAACGTACGTCTAGCACTCAAGGTGTCATACCAAACCTCTGGAAGGGTCAAGAAAATTCTATCAGGTTATCATGGAAGAATACCGCCGAGTAAGGGAGTTAACGTGATTTCAGCGGTGCTTCCCATTCAAGAAGATTCGACTCGGTACAACCACGAGGAACCTCATTGGCGAAGACGACCGGCCGTGTGGACCACCCAGACACGGGTCTGATTAGCTAAGAAGAAGACGACGACGTTAGAGCGTCGGCGCCGAATAAAGACTTCTATATCAACCTCTACGGCTTTTTCTGAAGCCTAGAAGAAGGATACGATGCTAGGCAGGTTTATGAAAAGAGGAGCGACCACCAACTGGGCTACTCCAGGACGTGATCGGGGAAAATGGGAGTTCCACTGGTGGCTGAAGCTCGACTCGCTTGGCGATCGATGGGACGACGAACGATGCTGATGAGACCAACCTCGTATCAATTAAGTAATGGAGAAATTATTGATTACTCTCGTCGAGGTTTAAGGAAAGTCGATCTCCAAGGACGATGCGAATATTTGCGAAATTCAGGCTCCTCCTACCGATCTTATTTGATCTAGTCGCTCTACTCTTACTTATTCGACGACATCGACTTCCTGCGATGTTGGAAACTCTTGCTCTGTGGGGAAAATCGATAACTATGTTCCCGAAAATCGATCGATAACATCGTCAAGGTGGTGAGTACTTCTGGGGTGTATCCATTCGAGCGTACTGCTGCAACGATATATCCAGGAATGATCCGTGAATGCAAAACCCTGACCATCGGGCGGGAGTTGAATGGGCAAAAAAATCATAGCAGCACAACAGGAGCCGCAGTAGTGCAATGGTCAGCACGCACCCCGCGAAAGAGTGAGACGCGGGTTCGACTCCCATCCGTGGTTCGATGTTGCGAATATCACTCAACTTCATTGGGTATGCACCTTACATACAATATATATATATATATTGTATATACATTATAATGTATATAGCGTTGAATAAAAACAGGATATCAAAATAAGATGCTAAGGCGGTAAATCAAGAAAAATTCTCGTAGATCACATCAGGCACAGATCCGTGTGTGAATGAAGAGACAACGAAAGGTGATGAGCAGCAGACAGCTCGAGAAAAACCCTCCGAAAAACTATATTATTTCGGATTTTCGTAAATATGACCAAAAAAACTTCAGAAGGGGTAAATTTTTATTCCCACACTCAAGGGATTTGAAAACAGACGTCATGGTAGCGATTGCAGACATTCGGCGATACCGTACTCCTCGGCCGATTTTTATTGCCTCCTTATTAGTTTGTCGTCTTTCTTCCACTTGCGAAGGGGAAGGAAAGAGAATAGCGCACTGGCTAATGATACGGTGTATCAGGAAGCGAGGCGATAAGCGATGGGCTTGTTCGATCCCCCGCGCACTCTCGCGATCACAGTTCAACGAACGCCTTCTATTCGCCGAGGTCAGAGAGTCGTCACGGTGAGCATCTACGACATTAATAAAGGAAGACGAAAATTCTCAAGCAGTCCGAAATGACTCGTGAAATATGCCTGATGACTGTCCTTTGAGCCATGCATGTGGTCCGTCATGGGCACTTGTACAGCCTAATGCACGTGTTTCGGCTTGGAGCCTCGCTTGCAGTAGCTTCGTCTTAGCCAATCCCTTTGGCGGAACCCAACACTCCACATAGAGTAGGCGACGACGTACTACTTACACGTGTCGTCGAGTAAAGGATATCACGGTTCTTGCTAATTACAAGGGAACTAAGTGAAAACTGATCTCATTCGCTGGATAGGAGCTTTTCATAGTAGTCTTAGTAACCATTCGAAAACTGAGACTTGAGGCTACAGCCCCACGTCGCCGGTTTTCCAAAACGCCCCTTTATAACGTAGTAGCGTTCAGATCAAAAGTCATGTTTCACAATCGCCTTTTGCCTTCATTTTTATCGCGCGTTTGAATCGCTGGAAGCCGTGAACGCATATCAATGTGTAGAGGAATTTTTGTAGTATCTTAGTCAATCGTTTTATCTGAAGTTTCTTCCAAAGCGGAGGAAAAAAATTCCAATTCAATAACAAAACATCGTCCGTCGCGCCTCGCCCGGCTCCTACCACGCCCTCTGCCACAGGCTCCGCCTTGTCGAATAGCTATAAACTGCCGAATTAAAACTCGATCTTATTTTCCTGCTAAGCCGTATTTCCAGAAAATAAGCACACCGCTAGAATCAGAAAACATTACCCTATCAGATGATTACCAATAGTCTAGAGAAAGAGCTCTGTCCGGCAAAGTCAAAGCACAAATAAAAAGACCAAAGAAGATCAAGATATCAATAGAGCCTTTTGAAGAAGCAAACATTAGTTTGAGTTCTTTGAAGCCTGTGGTATAGTTTGAGTACCAGTACTCTAAGGAAGGAATTTTGTTCAGCGAAATTTAAGCGAGATAAAAAAAAACACGTGGTTTATGAAACATGATTTTACTTGGAATGTTACAGCGTTATATGCGGGTGTTTCGAAAAAACGATGACGTGAGGGTGTAGCAAGAAATCTAAGCTTTCCAATGATACCTAACAATCACATGAAAAGTTTTTGTCCACTGAGATCAGTTTTTTTTTCGGTACCCTTATAATCAGAACAAAACCAAATCACTATGTCTGCAGTGTTGTACACTCAATCACTCTTGACGGTTTGTGTTTACGAAATATCATAGCGTTCTCTGTGTGAGGGGGTTAGGTTCGCCCCATGAAGATTGGCTAAGACGAAGGCTACTGCCCGACTAATGAGGCTGTCAAGGCCGAAACATGTACATTACACTACATAAATGCCCATAACACACCACATGAATGGCTCAAAAAATAATTTCAGATATATTGAAGTTTCAGCGTGGTCTTAAGAAAACGCTCGAAACGAACTCATGAAATGCTCCTCTTTTTGCACGTATAAATTCTAGAAAATGAATCGAGATTCAACAAGTCTTAGGATCCCACTCACTGATTGTGGCACAGGATCATGTGAAATAATGAATAAATGTGACAGTGTTTCAAGCGCGACGATGTAGCGCCTCGATGTGATCTACGCGATAGAGTTCGTTCTGTTGTAAGACAACCTCATTGCAGACGGATTTTCTAAAAACCCAGCAAAATATGAAACGTTTTCGATGGAGGCTGTACGGTCGGACCATCTGAATCTTGTTTGTTGACTGCGCCGTTCCTCGAAGTTATTGCAAAAACGAAATCTATTCCGTCTACGTCTTCGGCGCGTTTCGTCTTCTGCAGAGCCCATTGATCCAAGCCAATGCTTACCAGTCGGCCATCCTCGATGTGGCCATCGTCGTCGTTCGAGTCGGATCTTTTTCGCTCTATCCACTATAGCATTTACCACAAAAAATGAAAAAAGTGGCATTCACATCGACAGTCAAACGCTCATATTGGTGTCCCATTGGGCAGGCGAAAGGGAAGCATTGGTGTACGACTGGGGCGAAAACAGGACTCTATGGGGTGTCCACAACTCGCGTCACTCAATCAGTGACGAGGTTTCAACTGACAAAATGATTTTGTACTAACAACTCTATTTTTATGTATTTAATATCACAGGCACGCCTAGCCCATGGCTTGGAAGCGTCAAGCAAGACACATGTGGCCATTTGTTCGATCACGCGCATAGGGCACACAAGGCCTTCCAACCCTCCGAAGTTGGCAGATTGGTATCGGATACTTCGGTAAGCTACTGCGAGTCATTGTATAGGCTTGAGATGCAATCAGCCGTTTTCTACGATCGAATGCAGTCGAATGCATGCCTAATTCTTCAGGGAATGATGACGCTGAACGCTTTTTCCTTTATTCTCATATATCTTATCAGTGTTTCGTTACACAATAAATGATGCTGCTCTATTCTACGTAGCTACTGTGCAGTCAGAATCTCAATAATCTACAACAAGTTTATTATAATCACGTAAAAATGACAGCTTCGACAAGCCGATATCATCTCGGAGAACATTTCAATGCCGTCACCGAGTACGCCATGAGAAGACTGGGATAAGGTGAGAGATTGAAGATCGAAGATGACCAGTAGATGATCAGACCATCTCTGATTTTGTGATGCCATTGTTTGCAGGACATTGAGCATTAATTAGACGAAGTGAATATGTGGTTGATTTTATTCATGCGTATAAAATAATAGGCTTCAGGTGGAAACTGAGAAATTGATTTTCGTGAGAAAAGAGAAGGAAGTGAAGAAAACAAATGGCATGTGGAGGGAAGGGTGGCTTGCAAGAGCGTCGATGACGTGTTCTAAAAAAGCATGGAAACTGCTCCACAGTTCAGAGCATTATGGATTTCACTGAGTATTCTGACTTCAGCGTGTACACCAGAAATGCGGGATGTTGTATAGACAGAGTGATGGTGGCTTGGCGTTATTGAATGCGTATTGTTTCTCATAAGATGTGTGGGAACTGAAATCCTTATTCGCTACGCCAACTGGAAGTCGTTGTTTTCAGACTACATTGTCGAAAATTAATGGAGTCAGAGGCACGTGATCGTCTGCGGAGACATTCGTCTGCGCTGTATTATACGCTGTACTACATTGTGTACATCGTTCTAATATCTTTGGTAAAACCGCTCTTAGCGCAGTGGTTAAAAGTGCTCCATAACATGTAGTCAGTCGCTGGCTCCATTCCGCGCGCCAATGAGGAAACCAAGTCCTTCATCCATGCGGAGTCGGCAAATTGTTAAGAAACATCTGTGAGGGGGTAAAACGACTAACTTGAGAAATCGATGGCCTAGAGTGCTTTTGTTTGAGCAAATATGCAGCCAAGATGTTGCGGATAGATTATGTCAAATTTATGTAATCCAATTTCCACCTCTCTACTACAGTTTTTGTTTATCGAATCAGAAATCAAGTAGCTATTATCTTGTAACACCAATGTTACGTACTTCTTCGAGTAAGCAAACAAACTGAGTCAATGATCGAAAATCAAAAATGCGTCCAGTCAAGAAACTAAGACGTTTTTGTTTTGGATAAACGTCTCTAAACTTCTTGTTGCATATGTACAAGAAGCGCAGTAGTAAGAGATATTGTGTAACGTGCATACTGACCAGTTCGTTCTATTCTGCTTGTCCCGGATATACCCAGTTCACTATACCTCAGATTAGGTGAATTGGTAACTTCTGTTCAGAGGAAGTTTTCATCTAATCAATCCACGTTGGCTGGCCACCTGTGGTGAAAATTGGCAATTGTCCTAACGTGGCTATATCGGGCTCCTAGATAAAATCTATTCAATAGATATTCATGAAAGGACAACATCCCGAAGTGACATCGAAAGCACATACAAGTTCGGAGTTTCGTAACTAACGGGTGCAAGGTAAAGAATCGAATTGAATAACTGGTGAGTTATAATACACGAGGACGGATCACATAGAAATGAATACGATACAAAAGCGTTCATTCGGCGATGGGCTATGAAAGGATATCTACATGTAATGAACTGTATCGTTCACAATTAAAAATGATTCACGATGCTTTTGATTCTTGTTAAATAACAGAATGAACATTTCCAAATCATTTAAAATCAAAATCGATTTTTCTAGAACAGAATTTTCATCACAGTGACGCGAATTGGGGAATTTTCTAGAACGATATGCTGTCGGATCGACCGGATTCTAAAAGTTGATCGATTCCAGCGATTGATTCGATGTCGCTGAGTTCGTCGACTGGAAGGTAAACATATGTTTAATATAATTTAACTCATGATAGTAATATTGCCCAAATTACTGAAGAGATTTTCTGAGAGCTGAGTAGAGTAATGGTCGTGATGGTTGCAATAAATCCTGTATTTTCGATTTTTTCTTCTCGAAAAATTGAAATATGATGACTCTAAGGGTTCATCCATGAGTAGTTGAGTTAGATGAAG